TATGTATAACCGCAATTGGTACTTATATCAACAATCACGCAAGAAAATTTTGATTTTATAAATAAGACACGACCTTTACTTAATAATGACAGAGTCACATGGGGATGTTAAGTCGCAAGTTAACACCCCAGGTATACTTAATCACTTACAACATGGTGTAATCAGGGTATTATACTTGTTACAACATCAACAATAACTAACATTCACGAAGGTTCGGCAATACATGATAATTATATTAATGCAATATAATTATTAAATAAACATCATTGGCATTTACGTTATACCCTTTATATTTAAAATTTTAATTTAACCACTTATTTAACCTATACATTATAAAAAGTCGGAAGCATTTAAAATAACACCTGACAGAAAGAAAATAAATTCTGAAAAATAAAATTGCGGGAAAATTTATAAAAACTAAAATATAAAATACATTTTTAAATTAAAATATTATATTCACTAAACATTTATGAGAAAATCTTTAATTTAAAATATTATAGATAATCCAAAATCCAAAAGTTGAATATAAATCAAAGAGGTATTAAATGAATGTATTTAAGCACTACTCATTGGTTTTGAAGTGGGCAGGAAATTTACTTTAATAGTATTTTTACGATTAGTGAATGAGGCATGACATGTAACTCCTTATGAAGTTATTGAGAGAAATGATTCATCAGGATATGTACCTTTTAATTTAGACAGATTTAACAAAGTGTCTATGGCTGATTGATAAATTATATACGGGTTATGGCAGGAAACAATGAGATAAGTACCAAAATTATTAATATCTATAATACTTTCAGTAAAATTTCTTTGTATTGCTTTGAACTTTGATGACAATTTAAAGATTGAACGTATTCAAAATTTTTATGGTCGAATACAATGGTTAAACTAGTGTTTTAAAATATGAAAGCGAACATGCGTAAATTGTAAATGCAGCTAGTGCATTTAGTATGAGTAATAATTGCTTTTATCATTAAATCTCCATTCAGTATCCAACCTAGTCGAAGGCAACAACATGACCATATTATATCTTTGATTAATTAAAGATAATAATGTTAATATTAACAAAACATCAGAAGTTTAAATTAATGATAATAATTGTATCAACCATTCTTTGGTGGTTACTATACTTATGTAGCCATGCGTAATTATGAATAATAAATTGGGAACACGGCGGCTTTTCTACAATTTTTAACTTTATAATTAAGAAAAGCACGATGACTTTCAGAAAAGCAGGGGTGAAAAGTTAAACCGTTGTTCAATATAGATGGGTTAAGAGTACCGTTAAATTTCGATGCAGTGTACTGGCGAGGCAAGATATAGAAAACTATTAAAACATAACGATGTAAAATATTTATAATTTGTTCATGAATAAAACTATTTTAGGTGGAGTTTAAACAGGCCTGGACAAGTCATAGGCCGGGCCCAGTTTTAGAATGTGAAGAAATGTTACAGTGATATCAAACACATCAGCATATGACACCTCACCAGATATTTCATCACTGACTTTCTGCCTGGCTTTCAAAATCAAAATTCACACCGTGTTAACTGGCCCAAATAAGCAATCACTTCAAAGCCAAAATGAAAAATCAAGAGGTACCGACAATGATCATCCAGATATGTTCAGGTTCAGAAGAAGAAATACTGATACTGATATCGGCACTTGGTCGTCACATTCAGACCAATAACAACCAGGTACTGAGCAAACAGAATCCCGGCAGCGCTGCCAATGATCAGTATCCAAGATCTGAAATAACACGATTACGATATGTGCTGCCTGGCCTCGTTTACACCGATGATCAGGACAACATTCACTACCAGAAAGTCTCAAGATCGATATGGCATGAATCCGTCTCTCCGTGGCTTAATGGGTAAATTCAGATTCAAAATCAAATACATCATGCAATGGAGTAAATAGACGGGACATGTATATAATTTGTAAATGCAACAAATTCCAAATTAAGCCATATTAATGGTCTTGTACTACAAGAAATTGTAAATACACTTAGTTCATCAAACCCATATTCTCCATTACTCTATTCATTAACTGTTGACTATTCAATAAAATATATCCGATGGGTTTAGGTTTTAATACCTTCACAGTATCAGTCATGAATAACCTACAGCACATACCACCAGATTCGACACATCCTACATAATTTCACAGTGTTCCAGTAACAATCAAGAGAACATCAATAAACCATCACCATCTATTTAATGGTACTAACGGCATATCATCTGGTCGCTGCATATCTGACTACTAGTACTGGCAAGTTTGTTTCTAAGTGATACAAATTCAGCAATTACAGCGATTTTAAACAGCTTTTGGTGGAAATATACAAATGGATATCCACACTTCAATATATACCTGGAGATCAAGATTATGTTCAACGCCAAATTTACTTTCCGCGTAATTTTTGTATCAGATATGCTCAATGCATTGTTAAATAATAAAATGATCAATGAATTTCGCAAAATGAAGGTTCGCAAAGGGTCATAAGAAATCAAAACAGTAGGAAACAAAATTTGCAGGCCAGTAATTTAGATTGCGTACATCACATCCGGTTCTCTTGTATATGAATAATCAAAATCACAAAACGACCCACTCAGCTGATATGGCTAACTGGTCGATGGATCTGGTCAACACTCAAGATACTCAAACTATGAAAACAGGCCAGACTTCACCAGTTTCACTCATCCTCCTCAAGTACATTAGGACGAGGATCTTGGCTTTCGCAACCCGATACGCTCATCCGGTGGAAAATGTTAACCAAGTGGGGTTCATTGTGTCAGCCTCAGATATTAGACCTGGAGCATCTGATTTTCAGCAAACTGGCATGCTCCACGGTAAACAGCAACGGGGTCAACCTACTGGCGTGATATGCATCATGCGCTATTGAGATCTGAGGACGGCGGCTTTCAGCACCTGGATACGCTTCATCGGCGGAACAGCACCAAAATCACTATATAAAACTTCAAGGTACATTAGACCAGCGATCTAAGCCAGCAACCTGGATATTTCATCAGGTGGAAATGGCAATCAAATGCAACCTACTGCGGTAAATCCCTTAAGGTACACATTAGGATCTGAAGGACCATTGCGTATCCATACGCTTCACTGGTGAAATGTTAACCGGGGCCGCAACTCACTATGGTAAACCTCAAGGTATTAGGATCTGAAGGATCTGGTTTTCAGCAACCTGGATATTCTCCATCAGGTGGAAATGTTAACCAAATGCAACCCAATTATGGTAAACCTCAAGGTACATTAGGATCTGAAGGATCTGGTTTTCAGCAACCTGGATATTCTCCATCAGGTGGAAATGTTAACCAAATGCAACCTAATTATGTTAAACCTCAAGGTACATTAGGATCTGGAGGATCTGGTTTTCAGCAACCTGGATACGCTTCATCAAGTGGAAATGTAAATCAAATACAACCTAATTATGGTAAGCCTCAAGGCACATTAGGATCTGATTTTCAGCAACCCGGATACGCTTCATCAAGTGGAAATGTTAACCAAATGCAACCTAATTATGGTAAACCTCAAGGTACATTAGGATCTGAAGGATCTGGTTTTCAGCAACCTGGATACGCTCCATCAGGTGGAAATGTTAACCAAATGCAACCTAATTATGGTAAGCCTCAAAGTACATTAGGATCTGGAAGATCTGGTTTTCAGCAACCTGGATACGCTCCATCAAGTGGAAATGTTAACCAAATGCAACCTAATTTTGGTAAACCTCAAGGTACATTAGGATCTGGAGGATCTGGTTTTCAGCAATCTGGATATGCTCCATCGGGTGGAAATGTTAACCAAATGCAAACAGAATCGTATGACGATAACAGTTCTAGAGGTTCATCTTTTAAACCAGGAACAGAAATGGAGAATATTAATCCATCAATAAGTCCAATTATCGGTGGTCAGTTTGGAACAGATATATCATCTGGTGGTTCTGTAACTCTAGTTGATACTGAAGGAGGAGATGCACAATCAATGACTAATGTAGATGTTGATGGCCAAGAAACTAGAGCATCAGCTTCAGCTCAAGGAAAGTCCAAAACAGGTATGAGTCAGACACAAGTATCTGGTTCATATTTAGGAACGGGAACATTTTCTGCTCAAGCTCAAACGAGTGATAGTGATAAAGGAGCTCAAAGCCAAATTGTAAGTAATACAAATGGTACAACAAGTAAAGCACAAGGAAAAGGTGGAAAGGGACAAGCACAATCCCAAGTTCTTTATAATGCCGACAATGGTATTGCTCTTGGTGAAGCACAAAGCTCAGGAATGAATTATGGGACAAACACTCAATTGCAAGCCGGTATTAAAGGAGGAATGGCAGATGCACAATCAACTGGTCTTGGAAGTACTTCTAGTCAAGCTCAAATAGGTTTCTTACCACACGAGTCCAGCAATAACACTAATCAAAAGTCATTATTCAAAGGTGGTGGAACAACTTCAGCTCAAGGTGGACCATATAGTGGTCAATCACAAAGTCAACTATTTGGGTCATATAAACATGGAATTTCATACAATGGTGCTGCTCAAGCAAGTAGTGGTAAAAAACTTCAAAACTTACCAAAATTAAATTTAGCTGATACCAAATTAAAAATTGGAAAACATGAAGAAACCAATAATGAAATTAAAAATCAAACTAATGCACTTAAGAGCTTACAATCTATTCCAAATCCATTACAACCTCAAAATCAAACAGAAAATTACGTTGATGACCACAAACAACAAAATATTTCGTCTACACAGACTCCACCTATTTTATCACAAGAACTGTCTAGGAATGCTGATATTTATCCAGATTATGAAGATAACGATGAGTATGATGATGATAGTGATGAAATTATTAATACAAAATCCGTACAAACCAAAAAAGAAACCATCCCAAAACAGGAGCAAAATATTGTTTTAAATTTAGATGACAAACATGATGCTCAAATTACTCGTGATTCTGATAGTCAACTGAAATCTGGACTAGTATTAGATGCTGGTCAAGTTATACCTGGTACTAATGGAACTAAAATACCAAGTGGATTTAGAGGGAGGGTAGCTTCAGTAGCTGGAGACCATACCAAAGCTCAAGCAATTCCTGGAAGTCAAGCACAAACTCAAACTGTATTTTTAACACCTGGAGTAGGTAGTTTAACTGTGGTAGACAAAACAAAATTAAGAGCACAGTTAAATAAAGAATCATATATTAGCCCTACTAACAGTTTCCAAACTGAAATTAATGGAGGAATAAGCAAATTTAAACCTAATGAAAATAATGTTCAGTATTTTACTAAATCATCAACTTGTGGTTACTTTTCATTTTCATGTAACTATGTAAATGGTGCGACAAATGGGGCTAAAATATGCAAGCCAAATCCACCACCTTTCCCATGCCTAAGAAGTAATTAATGATTAAACCAAGTATTAAAATTCATGTATATTTTAAAACAGTTATTTATATTTTAGATAAGTAAATAGAGTACAAAATTGTATACTAATTAAACCTAACTTTGTACTATGAAATAAAGTAGTTATCTTAAAGTAACATTTAATATTTTATAAGCTAATTTAACTACTACTTTTTGTTTTTCACGTGATTATTATTATATAAAAAAAAAAATTACATACGCAATATGTATAACTACATAATAAAACAATTAAAAAAAATTTAAATGATAATATCTAATGTGTTTGAAGAATACAAAACAAGTATAAAATATAAGTTATGAAATAAATTATTAAACATAGATTTAAAAAATATGTTTTGATTTTATGACAAGATATTTCTATAAGTATCATAAATAAAAAAAAAAAACATTATAAATTGAATATTTGACACATGTTTAGAACTAACTTGTGTTTTTATTAAGTATTAATTAATAATTATATTAATTGACTAATAATATATTACACGAAAAATAAAATATTTTAGTAGTTTTTTCACCAATAAGTAACAAACATTAATGCACATTTATTAGCTCAAATTCAGTCTTCCTCACTATGACTTGAATCGTCTGAAGATACTTGACTTGTCAAACGTGTCAATCTTAAAAAATAAAAAAAAACTTAATAAATGACAACCAAAATCTTGGTTTTTACCAAAATATGTAATTGTATTCTTACTTTTATGTTCTATGCATCCAAAAGCAGCATTTTTAAAGAATAAAATTATTTTATTAATTTAAATTATATTGAAAGGTGTTGTAAATAGTTCATATCAGTGGCATAATGTGCTTGTTTTAATGTAGTGTATATAGTATACATTTAATATTTTTAGTATACAATCTTACAGTATAGAAAAACACATGTAAGTATACAATGAGCCTATAAGCACCCAATGTTTTGTTTACAATTTATCAATTTGTACAGTCTACATCCAAACTACGTTACTGATTTATTATGCTTATGTTTATATTCAAGTAAAAAATTAATATAATACAGACAGAAATTATGTGATGCCAACTAACTTTTTGTACACATCAATGAATGGATTAAAGTAATATTAAATTAAAAACATAAATTTAGTTATAGCATAATATAATTAAATGTGAGCTCAGATATTACATAAAAATGTTAATATTCTTTTTTAGAATAATTAAAAATTCATAAGTGAATACTTTTGAAATTTTTTTAATGTAATTAGAACATGATATGAATAATTATCAATAATAATTAAATTTAAAAAATCAAATACATAGTTGACTTAGTTACTAAAATTCCTTTTTAATTACTAAAAGAACTAGCATTAATTGTTGATATTTGACTTAAATAATAATTATTATTAAAAGATAGCACAAAATGAATTATTATTGAATTAGTTTTAAATATTTTAAAATTTCAATAACAATAATTTAATCAGTTAGACTTTATTTTTGTATTTTATCAATAAAATTAAACATGTAAAATCTAAAGGATAATTAAATGCTTGTAGATAAGTCCTCACCTTATATTTTGGTGTTTTAATTCAGCCTGTAAACTATCAAGTTTTTCTTGTAAATCTTCGTTATATCTTTGAAGTTTCCTAAAAAACAATCAATTTTAAAATATCATTAATATTATAATTAAAATATTAATATATACTGTAGATTTATACCAGTCTAATACTAAAAAGTGGTTAAGTAAAAAAGGAATTTAATAAATTCAATATTAATAAAAGACTATGATCTATATTATTGATGATTCAGTTACATAAAGTGACACATCGTAACATAGACATATTTCCTTCCTTAGAAGAGGTCCTGTATTACTACTAATGCAATTAAAATTAAATTAAAAATATCATATTAATTTGAAAGTAAAAATATTGTTTTAATCAATTTGTATAGGATCAACACTTATCAGTTATCAGTATTAAATAATTTTATAAATTAGACAATTTATTTTAGTTTTACTTAATTGTTACATTTTACAGCCCTTTATGTACCAAATAGAAATATTCTTAAACATTTTATTGATATATTTTAACAGTTTAGCGCAAATATTGAATAAGACTTACTTTATAGTATTAGAAGCAGTATCATAGTCTTCTTCTGTAGTAGCTAATTCTCTTTTTAATTCTTCTACTCGGCTCCTTAAACGTTTGACTTCACTCTCATACTGCTCACCACGCCTTACTAAATGTGCTGACTCAGCGCTTTGGTCAACATACATTTTCTTTTGTTTGGATAAAATGTGTTTTAAATTGACTAACTCCTGAAACATAGTATTAGAAATATTATTAATTAAATAATTAAAACTATGAGTCAATAAAAAAAAAGAAAAAACTTGCAATATTTTTATCAGCCAACTCTTGTTGCAATAATCTGAATTTTATATCTGATGATGATTCAGGTTTATTCTGTTTTTGTAATTTTTCTAGTGTATCATTCAGTTCAGATTTTAATTGCTTATTGATTCTTTCCAAGTTCATCATTTCACTTTCTAGTTGCTCTCTCTTACTCCATTCAATTTCATTCTCAGATTGTAAGTGTTCTAGCTAAAACCAATTATAATAATAATAATAAAACAATTATTTATGTATTTTAATTTTAACAACAAATAATTTATTATTCACCTGTATTCTTAAATCTTCTAAACGTTTGTTTGTAATAACCTGATTATCTTGACAAGTTTGGCACTCAGATTTAATACTATCTGCACCTGATAACTGATTGTGCAAATTGTCTAAATCTTGTTGAGTACTTTCTAACAGATTTTCCAAATTTTTCTCAATTTTATCAGCAACTTCATCAGGCATGGTTTTATTAAGAATTGGTGATTTGACAGGAGAAGTTGTTTGATTAAACATTTCAACTGCATGTTTGGGAACTGCTTCTTGTAAAACATATTCCTCAATACCGGAGTCACTCACAATCGATGGCTGAGGTACAGATGAGGAACTACAACAAGTATCTGGATCAGAAATACCATTTTCTAATGCATCAACCAGTTGAGAATCCCATTGTCCTACAAAAAATAGTGTTTAAAACTAAATAAATTTAGACATTTATACTCAGAAAGTATACCTGCATGTTTTAAAAGAATCAGATTAACTTTTTCTAATTCTTTGCGCAAACATTCATTCTGCTGCTCAAGATTTTGCTTTTCTCTTTTTATATTACTGTTCTCTTTGAGTACGTGTTCTAAATTATCTTTGAGCATTTTAGCTTCTTCTCGAGCTTTGTTTCTTTCATTTCTTACCTATAAATAACAATAAAAAAAAAAATTACAATACCCACTAATCCCTTTCATAAAGTTAACACTTACCTTGCTCCATTTTTCACGCCAGTTAGCTGTACAATCAGACCACCATCGCATTGTTTTTTCCATTTGTGTTGCTCGTGCCCTAGCTTCATCTAATTCACGCTGACGCATTGACTCTCTTGTATCCCAATCAGATGCTGTAGCTGATGCAACAACACCGCCAGCTTCACTTGCAGCCATTTTAACAGCCTAAAAAACCAATTTTTTTTAATGATTTTTTAATAAATTTTTAATAATATATATTGTGGATAAGTAAATGATATAGGTAATATAAAATAAAACTTACCATGCTTAGATACTTTATAAACGTTTTTGATTCAGAAACACCAAATATATAACACTCAAAAAAGACATAAGATTTCTTCACATCACAATTATATTGAGTAAACTGTCACCAATTAATAATAATGCCGATCATACTAAAAGCAAAATTAAAATTAAAATATTACAATTACTATTAATTTAAGTATCCATAATAGTAAATACTAATACTTGTTTTCTGTTGACCATCGTCATCAATTATCAATCTATCTTACTTATTCTTATCAACTGAACCGTTATCAAGCCTAATATCATTTTCTTATCATATTTTGAATTTAAAGAATTTGCCATTTTACACGGTTTGTTAATTATTTCTAAAAATTTTAATAAATATGATGTCTTTCATCAAAATGTTAAATCATGTATCGATGCACATAGAACTGTGTTATAAAATATCGCAGTACAATTTATTGAACATCAATTTAAGACAGGAATCGTGTATTCTACTATCTACTAGTTGATCATGTATAACTGTATAAGTGTCAGCGTAGAACAATAATTTATCCCTCGTGCATAATGCTGCACCTATGCCTAATAAATAGTAATGTATTTCAAATTAAGATTAAATATTACATCATTTGTGATGATAATATTTCAATATGTTATCATTATAATCTATATACTTTATAATTGTGATTATATCATAGAATAATTAATGAATAAAATAAAAAAAAAGGTTTTAATTATAATATATAAGATGATTCACCAAGCATATTCATCAATCATCATAACTTTTTATTTGATAGTAAATTTGTTTAAATTCTAATTTTTGAAATTTTTAACTATGCGTTTTGACCTTATTTTTACATAATTTGGTTTTGCATGGCTACCATTTAAGCTATATCTGCGGTGATACAAAACTTTTTTTCCAAATTTTTTTTTTTAAATTTATTTCAAAATTTACAATGAAACAGGTTGGTGTTTATTTTAAAAAAGAAGCTTGTATTACCACATGACACTTCTTGTAAAAATCTTAGTTTAATATGGCCTATGGGCTATGACTGCTATGAGTATGCTCAGAAAAATGTTCGGGTGAGCACTGAACAATGAGCATGTTTGGTGAACCACTCTAATACCCTATGTGTAGTATGTGATCACACACGTCACTATTTTACTATCTAGTATTTATAATTGTATTTCTAATAATACCTAACCATGAACTGATTTAATAGTAATAAATTTTTACTAATAATTAATATAGTAATATATAATATATTTAATCCTCTCTCAAAACAAATTACTAGTTGCAATTACATAGATATATTTCGGCGATAATAAACAAAAACGATTCAGTAATATAGATATTTTATTATATAGGTATAAAAAAACCATAATTAATAATTTAAATAAATGGTTTTGAAATCAGAGAATAGATTGTGTAATAATTTTTCGGAATTAGCATAATTTATGCTGATTGGAAATTATAATTTATAAGAATGAGAATTAAGAATACACGTCTTCAGTCTTGACTTGATTAATCTTTTCGGGGTTATCAAATATCAACCACTGAACGTCAAACAGTATATAACTTTTCAGATAAATGAACGATGATAATGTAATAAATTAGCTCCAGGCTGGTGGTGGCGCTAGTGTTACTGGCTTACCGGCTTACCGCCTACCGGGCTATTAACTACAAACAGCATCACGAAGCCAATTTCAATGAATGATTCAACACGTGTTTCTACTTTCAA